TGTGTGTGTTACACCTGTACGTTGGTCACTCACACGCAGCCCGCAGCTGATTCAGAAGAAGGTTGCAAGTTGACTTGTACTCTGTTGGAAGGGATGCAGGGTATGTGGACCTCCTCTTTAACAGTTTTTAAGCATTCTCTGGCTGGAACATACAGAAGGTAAAAAAAGGGAAATTAAAACTTTGTATTTCGGTGATATCGTGTCACAGAATCGCAGAATGGTTTGGGTTGGAAGGGACCTTAAAGGCCATCCAGTTCCAACCCCCCTGCCATGGGCAGGGACACCTTCCACTAGACCAGGTTGCTCAAAGTCTCATCCAGCCTGGCCTTGAACACTTCCAGGGATGGGGCATCCACAGCTTCTCTGGGCAACCTGTTCCAGTGCCTCACCACCCTCTCTGGGAAGTACTTCTTCCTGATATCCAATCTAAGCCTCCCCACTTTCAATTTAAACCCGTTACCCCTTGTCCTGTCACTACAGGCCCTTGTAAAAAGTCCCCCCCAGCTTCCTTGTAGCCCCTTCAGGTACTGGAAGGTGCTGTAAGGTCTCCCCGGACCCTTCTCCAGGCTCAACAAGCCCAACTCTCTCATATATGAGAGGGATGTCCCTTTTGGGCAGGCGAGAAGAATGGAATTGCCTTGTGTTAGGAGCTTTCTGCAAACCCTGGCGAGGCAGTGATAGATTTCTTGTGATTTTGTTTGTGCCTGCGTCTCTTCTGAAATGATAAGTTCTTGGCATTACCAGGAATGTCTCTGCACGTGACACATTGCAGAGACAGGCTTCTCTGAAAATGCAGCATAAACATGAGCATATCTTTTCAAGTCTAGCAAACGCTACTTCCTAGCCAAATGCCATCTTTCCTATTTCTTAAGCTAAAAAAAATCGCTGAAGAAATCAAAATTCCATTTTCTAAATCTGAGAAGCAAGCATCGCTTGAAATACGCAACAGCTTTGTTTCTCTGGAATATAAATTGGGGAGATTTTAGTACATTCAAAAGGGAATAAACAGGTTTGAGCATTTGCTATGAATCCGTAAGTGTTTTCTTCGTCTGAAAAGTTTGCTAAATTCAGGCTTATTCATTCCACTTCTGCCTCCCCTTACAGACTTGGCGTGTAGTTTTATTTTTTAGCTTTATTGTTCCATTTTTCTTACCATCACTAAGACATGTCATCACTCTGACAGCGATGTCTAATCTGTCTTCCCCTGCACTGTGCCATAGTCTGTCAAGTGGGGGTGAGAGCACCGGGGATTTAATTTAACAAGGCCAGTTTTTGTTTGGCCGTCGGTTACCATTCTTTGCAGTCTGCCTACCTCCCCCGGAGACCTCTGGTTAGAAGCAAACTCCCTTTTCCTTTTTGTTTTCTCTTTCAGCAAGGAGGAAAAGAGAACCTTGTTCTAAATGGCTTTACTCCACAAAGCTGGTCGCTTTTTGGGAACAGTAAAGGGTCCAGACTGGCCGAGTAGCTTGCAAGATCTACTGCACTCCTTCTCTCCGTTCAAACAATGTGTGTTTTCATGTGCAGGCATCTAGGGAAAGGTGAAGCAGGAAAAGTAAATAGCTGTGAAACGGCTTTTGTTTCTAACAGCGGGTATGTTGTGTATGTTTCAGCGTCAGCGATGGGAACCCCCACCCACAGCGCCGTGCACCTGAGCAACTGGCAGAAAAGTTACTTCGCCATCACCTCTGGCACCTGCACACCAGGACAGAAGGCAGACGAATACCGTGCCAAAATCCTGCGCATTCAGTATGCATGGGCAAACTCCGAGATCTCGCAGGTCTGCGCTGCCAAGCTGTTTGAAAAATACACGGAGAAGTACGCTGCAATTATTGACTCTGACAACATAGAGACTGGCTTGAATAACTACGCTGAAAACATTCTGACTTTGGCAAAGTGTCAGCAAAATGACAGTGACAAGTGGCAATCTGCCCTGACAACAGATAATGTGTTTGAATTAAAGTGTGTGCGAGAGAGGATGCGGGCTGGCAAAAATTGCCGGAGCTCTCAGATGGCACCAGCAGATGCCTGTGCGCTAGCCGATAAAGGGGTCAGTGCCTCTGCTGCGCCAGGTCTTCCTAAACCCGGTCTCCTCAGCACTGCCGGAGAGCCCGAGCTCCGTGCCGGCTCAGCAAAATGTACAAGTCAGGGACCAGAGCCCCTTGAGCATCCCTCATCTTCAAAGTCACTTCAAAGCAGCGCGCCTCCTGTGACCAAGAGTTCAGACATTCTTCCTGCCTCTTCAGCCTCCTTAAACAAACAGCTTCTGACAGGTTTCCAGGCCACTCCGCTGTTTGGAAGTAAGGAAGTGACGGGCAGTAGTTCTCTGAAAATGCTGGGCACCTGTCGTGATGGGCAAAACGCGTCTCTTCCCAGCCAGGCCGCTGCACCGGCGTGGTCTGCAAGTTCTGGAAAAAGGAAAGCGTTCTATGGCATGGCTGATGAAGGCAGCACGGTGACTCCTAACCTTGCTCTGTGCGAGGCTCCCGTCAGTGCAGAAACCAGCAGTTTTTCAGGGAATAGAAACAGAAGTGAAGAGGGCAGCATTCCTGGTTTTAGAACGGCAAAAGAGCAGCTGTGGGTGGATCAGCAGAAGAAATCTCAGAACCTGCCCCAGCGCGCGCCAGTCTCGTCCTACGGAGGCGTAAAAAAATCGCTGGGTGCGGGCCGATCTCGGGGCCCCTTTGGCAAGTTTGTTCCTCCAGTTCCAAAACAAGACGGAAACGAAAACGGAGGAGCCCAGTGCAAACCTCACACGAGAGGGCAGCCGGATCCGTCGCTGCCTGTGGATGAACGACTGAAAAACATCGAACCGAAAATGGTCGAGCTCATTATGCACGAGATCATGGACCATGGGCCTCCTGTCAACTGGGATGACATCGCCGGTGTTGAATTTGCTAAAGCTACCATAAAAGAAATAGTGGTCTGGCCTATGCTGAGGCCAGACATCTTCACTGGGTTACGTGGCCCTCCCAAAGGAATTCTTCTCTTCGGCCCTCCCGGGACTGGCAAGACTCTTATAGGCAAGTGCATCGCGTGCCAGTCCGGAGCGACGTTTTTTAGCATCAGTGCCTCTTCCCTGACTTCCAAGTGGGTGGGCGAGGGGGAAAAGATGGTCCGTGCGCTGTTCGCTGTGGCACGATGTCAGCAGCCAGCAGTGATTTTCATTGATGAGATCGATTCTCTGTTGTCTCAGCGGGGAGACGGGGAGCACGAGTCGTCAAGAAGGATAAAAACTGAATTTCTGGTCCAGTTAGATGGGGCAACAACCTCCTCCGAAGATCGTATTCTGGTGGTTGGAGCAACAAACCGACCCCAGGAAATCGATGAAGCTGCCCGCAGGAGGCTGGTGAAGAGACTGTACATTCCTCTCCCGGAAGCCTCAGCGAGGAAGCAGATTGTTACCCGTCTGATGTCACAGGAGCACTGCTCTCTGAACGAAGAGGAAGTCGAGCTCATAGTTCAGAAATCGAACGGATTTTCTGGGGCAGACATGACGCAGCTCTGTCGAGAAGCTTCTCTGGGCCCCATCCGCAGTCTCCAGTCCATGGACATCGCAACCATCATGCCAGACCAAGTTCGGCCCATTGCTTTCCTGGACTTTGAGAACGCCTTCCGAACCGTGCGGCCCAGCGTCTCCTCAAAGGACCTGGAGCTGTATGAAACCTGGAACCAGACGTTTGGCTGTGGGAGATAGTTGCAGCCTCTTTCATGGAAGCCCTTCTTCAGCACTGACTCGTAGTGAACCCCTGAGGACTGAGGGTGCTGGCACTTCGTTTTGTTTCTGTCTTTGAAATACATCCTCTTGCGTTACGCAGGCAGGAGTCTGGGCCCCGGCCTGGGGTTGAGTCAAGTGAAAGGACTGAGAAACTGCTGGTCACGATACGAGGAATCGCGGAAGACAAGTCACGGAGCTAACGGAAGTTACGGACGGCTGCTGTGGAAGATGGCCGAGTTTCACTGACGTGCCAGGGGAAGATGGTCCATCCTCGCACGCAGTTGGAGGGAGTGTTGGGGGGAATCTTGCAAGGCCCACTGTGCTGTAGCAATAGGGCCATGCAAGGCTGGGGGGACTCGGGTAACGTTACTAGAAATACCGAATTCGGGTAGGGATGTAGCAAAACTGGGACTGATGGGAAAAGTAGTTAGGGGCACATTGTTTGGGAAGAGACAGGAGCAGAGGAAGGCAAGAGTGCAGGTGGGTGTGGGAAGATTAGAAGGTGGGATGAAAGGGGATGGTCTCATGTAAGCAGTGTTCTTGTGGAGCCCTGCACCATGTCACTGCACGCTGTCCCAGCTTCTGATTAAATCCTTTTTCTGATGATGTTCTGCTCGGCCTGGCTTCCCGTGCTGTGTTATCGGGGGGTCTGGGACTGGGTGACGGGCCGCAGGACCTGAGGGCCAGCCGCGGGCTGGGCTGTGTGTCTGGGGCCAGGTGCCGTAGGGATCCCGATGGGCGCGCAAGCTTCACTTGACAAAACTCGGGTGTGACCTTCAGCTGGGCTGGCTGGTGAGGGGAAGGAAGCCAGCCCCTGGAAAGAGCCCAGAGAGGAGCCAGTGACAGAGTCGGGGGGCTCAGGGTCTGGGCATGGATCTTAGATAAATCCCATGGCGATGTTGGAAGGCTCTGGGAGTGAGGTGTCCCTATGAAGCTGGGGAGGTGTCTCGCCGGTGAGCTCTGCTCCCGTTCAGCTGGAGACGAGGGACAAGGTGGGGCTGTGTCACTGGATTTATGTGAGCACGCTTGCTGCGTGTGTGCCACGCTGGTAAAGGTGCAGCTCGCTCTGTGTTCCTGTCTCTGTGGGTATCTGCTGTTTCGGATTAGGGGCTCAGCCTCGCTCTGGGCTGGACCTGTGAGCAAAACCAGCGACAGTCACACCCCTCAAACTAAGATGGGAGAAGCCTCAGTCTGAGAGTGCACCCAGTGGGGCTCTGTTCACTGGGAAGGAGAAATCCCGTGTCCCAGCATCAAATGGGTTCCTCTACTCCTTAAGAAGTCTTCAGGTAACGATGGCAAATTCCTAGCTAGCTTGTACTTGGCGTCCTTACCGAGGGTCTGAAAGAAGTGCACCGCCTTCTGTTTGCTTAACCCATCCTCCTGCCCCAGCCTGAGCTGCCCCTGCATGGAAAATACCTTGGGCTCCTTAGCCGGTGTGGCAGAGCCGGCTGCAGTGGTGCCCCTGCTTTATTCCCAGTTTCTCTGGAGCGCTTTTTCTCCTACCGAGGAAAGCAAAGAGCTTAAGAGCTGGTCGTGCTTTGATTTCTCTGAAGATGGAGAAGCACTGGTTAGCATTTGTTTAAAGCCATTTGGGAACTGTGAGACTATAGCCAACCTTCAGAGTAATTTGGAAGACGTGGCACTTCTTGGAGCTCATCCGGATTTAGACATAAACCAATCAGTTCTATTCTTAGCTTATGTTTTCAGTAAGGTATGGTATGTGTTAGAGATTGTTTTGCAGAGGTGTAAGAATTCGGGTATGCAAATTTATCTTAACTTTTGAAATCGTGAGAGTAGGATAATCAGATTATTTTGTAAGAATGAATGTGTGACGGGGCCCAGACTGATTGTCTTTTGTGCCACCTGGGTTAAGGTTCCAAGCTTAAATCTGCTCTTACAAGATCAGTGTTGAGAGCTGTAGTCATGTACTGGATGAGGTTTCTGCTCTCTCCCAACATCTCTCCAACCCCAATGAAACGATCTCTAGAATCTTTTCTCAGGCAAGCGAATGCAAACCCCTGAGAATTTTAATTGTTTAGGTAAACCTAAGGGCTGCTCAAGGGTAATAAAACCCTTATGCCTGATTAAATAATTGCCTTGTTTATGCTGGGGAGTATTCTGGTCTGACATGTGAGCATTCTGTGCTCATCTGAATATTCATATTGGAAATGGCTCTACTGACAATGCACCTAGTGACAGGGAATCAAATGCCTCCTAAAGAGACCCCGACTGGGAGCGAAACCCTGTGCTGCGTTCTTTGTCTTCTGCAAAGCGGGATGTGTGAAGGAGATAGGAGGTAGAACCTTAACCCCAGGCAGGAGTATTCTTCCTCCTTGCCTTACGCATTGTTTAGCGCTCTCTGGAGTTGCATGGACACGCTTTTGTTTCAGAAAACACATAGAAGTAGTGAAAGGGGACAACGGATAAAGTTTATCCTCTTTCGGTAATGATGCAGGTGATGTGACAGCTCCTCGGCCACCTGGCGATATTGGGGCCTTGCTGCAGGACTCCCACGCCAGCAGGACGTGAGCATTAGCCCAACAGGTATTTCGTAACCCGCTGTAACAGTGTGCCAAACGAGGGATGAGATCGCCGGTAACGTAATTTCACAAAATACAGAAAATTGCACGGAAGTAGGGCGTGATTGTAATTTGAGGGAAATGGTGCAGATAAATCCACTTTAATGGATCTGTTTAGTGTATGCAGAAACCCATGCGCTTCATTATTTATTCTTTTTGGCTGGCTGAACTTCGTAAGAAGAAATGCAGGACTCTCCTCCGGTTTCGTGGTTCAGTAACATTTGGTGCACAATCCCTTAGTTTCTCTTAAATAAAGGTAAATAATTGCAGTCCTGGAAAGGTGAGGTCTCATTAATAATCGAGGCAATTCAGGCTCTTCATTTTCTCCGTGCAGCTTGTATTTGAGTTAGCTATATTGTCTCAGTGCAGTATGAAATCCCCAGCTGAATTTTCGCTTATAGAAAACTCTGCCAGCGCAAGGAGGGGAAAAGCTGATGAAGTGGTGGTGGTCATCTGCTGCTCATGGGGAGAGAACGAGAACCAGAGCGGCCCCTAAGAGCATCGCCTAGGTCATCCTATCGAAGTAGGGCAATTTCTGTTTTTCCAGTCGAAGGTACGGAACTACTCCAAGCTGACATGTCGTTGGAAAAAGCCCCGCCAAGCTAAGCAAAAAACCACTTTCCCTATTCAAATTATGGTTTTGAAGGCAGCGAGGGATTGGTCTTGGTGGGCGCTTCCATTTAGTGAGACTCAGAATATGCTTCGTACCGTAGATACGCAACCGGTGCTCGCTCTCGTCTTCAAACTCGTGAGCGTGCCTGAAATTTAAGTGAAAGCTCAGGCCTGGCAGAGTTTTGAAAGAGGGCTCGTGAGTCCACTGCTTACCTAATGGGATACCCTGGCAGGTTAACAGCAAGGTGCCTGCCCAGCCCCTCGCTCACTCCCCCTCCGCAGCAGGACGGGTGGACGAAATAGGGTGAGAGAGATCGTGGGAGATTGCTCACCACTGTGGGTGAAACAGACTCGGCTTGGGGAAAACTGATTTATTGCCAATTAAGGTAGATTTGGATAGTGAAAACCAAAAAAGACTAGCATGAAACAAAACCTTTCCTTACTGCTGTCCCAGGCACGACTTCACTCCTGCCTCTCCTGCCCTGCCGCCACGGGCCGCAGTGGACAGGGGGTTATAGAATCATGGAATCACAGCACGGTTTGGGTTGGAAGGGACCTTAAAGGCCATCCAGTTCCAACCCCCCTGCCATGGGCAGGGACACCTTCCACTAGACCAGGGTGCTCCAAGCCTCATCCAGCCTGGCCTTGAACACTTCCAGGGATGGGGCATCCACAGCTTCTCTGGGCAACCTGTTCCAGTGCCTCACCACCCTCTCTGGGAAGAACTTCTTCCTGATATCCAATCTAAACCTCCCCACTTTCAATTTAAACCCGTTACCCCTTGTCCTGTCACTACAGACCCTTGTAAAAAGTCCCCCCCCAGCTTCCTTGTAGGCCCCCTATGGTCAGTTATGGTCAGTACAGAGCAGTTTCTCACTGCTGCTCCTTCCCCCTCAGGGTTTTCCACTGCTCTGGTGTGGGCACTCCACGGGCCACAGTTTCTTCGGGAATATCAATCTGCTCCAGCATGGGCTGTCCACGGGCTGCAGCACGGATATCTGCTCCACCATGGAGCCGTTGGAACCAGCTGGGTCTAGCATGGAGCAGCCCCTGGCTTCTTCCCACAGAGGCAAGTCCTGGAGCCTCCCCCCTCACTACCAAAATCTTCACACCTACACCCAACATAGGGGCCCTTCGGCAGAACAATTCATGTGACTGCAGTGCTTAGTGAAGGTACGTAAAATTCCCAAAGACTAGGTTTCTTAGGATTACTTTTAAATGTTTTATTACTGTTCTTTATCTGACTGCAGAAAAGCAGTCACACAGCTGTGTCAGTAAGCAGTTGCAGTGCGAATCAATCTTCGGTACTTGTTTTTGTCCTGTTAGGTCAGAAACTTCATATAGAATCATAGAATCTTTTAGGTTGGGAAAGACCCTTAAGATCACTGTGTCCAACCGTTAACCCAGCACTGCCAAGCCCACCACTAAACCACATCCCTAAGCACCCCATCCACATTCTCCTAAATCCTTCCAGAGATGGTGACTCCACCACCTCCCTGGGCAGGCTGCTCCAGTGCCTGAAAACCCTTTCAGTGAAGAATTTTTTTCCTAATATCCAACCTAAACCTCCTCCAGTGCAACCTGAGGCCATTTCCTCTCATCCTATCACTTGTCACTTGGGAGAAGAGACCAATCCCCACCTGGCTCCAACCTCCTTTCAGGTAGCTGTAGAGAGCTATCAGGTCTACCCTCAGTCTCTATACCCTTGGCTCACATGTGAAGCCAAAATTGCATTATCACAGAGCTGTGGGTCTGGGCAGGACTCTTCAAGAAATCACCAACTTCCCA